CCTAAGGAACTCTTTCACTTACACATTTATTAAATCGAGTATCACTCAAAATTCCTAAAGTAAGGGCCACTGGCTAGCCATCTTTAAAGTATGAAGACTCCGCAAGGCTGTTTTTGTTGTAATGGAATTTAACCTGCAGATGGCTGCTCCAGAAAATGTCCAACGTAAATGATGTTTCTTAAACTCTAAGTTAATAAGGAGAAAGAATTTAGACAAAAGAGGATATTGGGAGCTCTGGTCATCTTCCGGGAAGGAAGTGAGAAATTGTACCATGGCTGTTAGGCTATTTGACCCCCCAACAAATTCAAACTCAGGATCCTTCCATAAAAATACAGAAGCTCACAGTGAAATTTTCAGAGAAATGCTTTCAAATTCCATCTCATGAATTCAATCTGTTTCTGCGGGGCAGTATATTCCACAAATCAAAGATAAATTTACCACAATCTGAAAGCCAGGTTCAAACATAGCGCGAGTACAAATTACAGTGAATTGTGGAATGAAAAATGCTTCGATTGGGGAGAACCAGAAAGGGCAATTTCCCTCTGGGTTCCTGCTGAAACCACATCCCCAGTTTCCACAGGAATGATGGCTTTTGATGAAACTGTGCAATGAGAACATGACTGGGACTGCATCAGGAGGCAGAAGTGTGTGTACCCTGATTGCAACTTCATAAAAAAAACAGGCACCATGACAAAAGACCAGACCGATGAATGAACAAACAAACCGTGCACTCGGTGAGATTAGCCTCATTTTCTTCTATCTTCCACACTTTCTGTAATACTGTTATTTTCTATATCTCTTTAAAAAATAGCAATGCATCATCTATGAGTAACCTTCCTGGACTCAAGGTTCAGGCAAGTCAGTGCTAAGCTCTTAAATTTACCCCAGAAACACGGTCAATTCTAAAGCTCCCTGAGCTAAATAGTTTAAATTCTCCATCAGTTAACACCAATAAGAAAGCAATACAGAAGAAAGTGCCTCAGGCGTTCAGGATCCTGGTGAATTAACTTCCTACCTAGGAGATGAGCAGGAAATCACTACAGACACCCTCGATTCTGTCCATGCCTTAAACCCTATGAAATTACACACAGTTCTTCTACTGAAATAAGTAAGTTGAAGGGAGAACTTCATTAGGTACGGAAGTGTTACCACAGCTGCCCAGAGCGCCCACGCAGATTCAAACAACAGGATGAAATTTTGAGGATTCAGGAAAGTACCACTTTAGGCTCAAATAACAATTTTACGGTAAGTAAACACCAATCAAGTGCAGAACAGGCCATGGGCAGCCCAATGAGCACCAAAGACATCACAGACACGCCTGTACTAAAGAGAGACAGAGTTGAGGAGGTCTATTTGCCTGAAGAGGTGGATCCCCTCATCCACAGGGCTATTTTCACAGCAGCAAAAGCAACACAGAGGACGAGTCCCATACCAAGACTCTGGGGCATCCTCGTGTGGATCTATAGCTGTGGGGAGATTCACTTGGGGCAGGAGAATTTTACGTCCCTGCTGGGCACCAGCCTATTCTCAGACCTCTGGTCACACACCCCTCTGGTCAGCATGGGGGGTCGATGGCCGCAATGCATGTTTATGTCCTTGAAAATCAACTTGGACTGGAAATGCCTTCTGGCTCCTTCCCTCTCAATGGTTCCCCTTTTAGTGTCCTTAACCCTGGGCATGTCTGTGCCTCCTCGAAAACTTTGTCGAGATGCTTCTACAAATGTGGAATGCTGTCCACCGTGTCCACATGTCCCTCTGCCAAAGGTGTTCAGGCCTCAGCGTTGCTACTAAACTTTTCTTAGTTAACCTGGCCCCAAGCTCATAGCACCCTCCCTCCCACGCTTCCCAACCCCCTTCCAGGCATTAGTGAGCACTGGCTCTTTCACAACGGTGTGTTTCCACTTTCCACCCACAGCGAAAACCCCTCAGGACCAGGAACCAATTTTTCTGTGTCCTTTCCAGGGCAAGGGTAGCACTTGATTTCCCCACAGCCAGCCAGCCCATAGAATGGACTGAAGCAACAACAGGAAATTTACTCACCAAAGACAGCCAATTACTTCAGTCTAGTATTTTAGAGATTTACCCAATTGATCCTCCGGCTCAGATCAATCACCAAGTCACTTAATCCAGGGAAACATTACAACAAGGATACTTTTTCAAAAGTGAATAAAAGCATCTATTATTAATGCCTTAAAGGAATAGGAAAGAGGGAAGATGGGCCTCTCCCATTGTAGATCTACAGTAAGTGTTTCTTAGAGAGTCTGGTGCACATTAGAATCCAAAGCCAGGGCTGGCTGTGGGGGAAGCCAAGTGCAGCATGGGTGTTATTCTAGCCAGATAGAGCGAGTCACCTGCTCTCTGGATTCTGATCCAACTATGATAAAAACCAAACGGTGGTAGAATCCCAGATACAATCTCTCTTCACAGGCATCCAGGTTAGTCTCAATTTAAAAGAGCCACCCCAGGAAGGCCCTGGGGGTAGGGGTAGGAAAGTTAAGTGGCTCACATGAATGCAAACCATGGTGTTCCTTAAAAGGACCCCAGGAGAACTGCGGGGCCAACTTTCCTCCCAGACAGCCCTGAACCAAGGCGGAGGGGAGAGATGTACCCCCATGGGAAGACTGGTGGGAGAGCCTAACCTGATGGGTTACACAGGAATGCCCTGTGGCTTCCAGAAACGGGATTTCCCAACCACCAAAGGGTGAGTGACATCAGCCCCACTGTCCCAAAGGACAAAAGTGAAAACTAGTGAAGGTCCAACAGGCCCGCTCCCTGAAATGATGGCCCTTCCATGAATCACCATTTCCCCAACACACACACCCCTCACCCCCGCCCTGACCTGGATCAGGAGCTCCTGGCATAACACCCAACCCACTGCCCAGATGCACACTGACCTGGAAAGCTGAGGGGAGGGCCCCTGCCTCGCTTGGCGGGAGGGGCAATGTCCACCTCTGCCACAGGTTCCCTTGCCTGTGCCACCAGCTCTCATCCTGACGGGGAATGGGCAGACTCCAGCGCTCACCGGGCGCCAATCTCGGGGCGGGGCGCCTGGCCGGCCAAAGCTCCGGTTGCGTTGGTCCGGGACTCTCACTTCCCGGTGCTCCCCAGGCCCTCAGGTGTCCACACAGGCACCCACTAAGGGCGGTCCTGGGCCCGGCGAGGCTCTCCCGAGGAGAGGACAAAAGCGCAGATGGCGTGGCCCCTAGAAGCCGAACTTCTGAGACCCGCGTCCGGGAACTGGTTGGGTTTTGTTTGGTTTTGTTTCTAAATCCTCGGGTGACGATTCTGGAAATCTCATCTTTAAGATCGCGGGCGCCAGAGCGAACCCCGACTTTCCTGAAAGGACTCGGGACGACCTTTCCGCGGAGGGAGCACCGCGCACCCTCAGGGGCGCGACCCCACCGCACGCGATCCGCGGGCGCCCGGCCCACTCGGGGCGCAAGAGCGGAACCCCGCCTGTCCCGCGGCCGAGACTGTGCTGGAGGCTGGAAACCGGCCCGCGAGAGAGTTCCAGCCGGAGCCCTGCGCCCTCCACCCGGTCGCGCACCCCGGGACCCGCCTGGTTCGTGGGCCGCCGCGACCGGCACGATGCCTCGGGACTCCCGACCTCAACTGCGCCCGAATCCCGGGCAGGTGCTCGCGCCGCAGGGACCCGCGCTCCCGGCCCGGGGGGGCCCCCGCCGCCCCCATTAGCGTCCAGCTGCTCGCCGTACTCACCGCCGCTCGCGCCGCCAGTCGAGCCGGGAGGTCTGAGCCCGCAGCGCAGGCGGCTGGCGGCTGGACTCGCCGGGGCGGAGCTGCTGCCGGGGCTTCCGGATCCTCCCCGCCTCCGCGCGCTGCCGGTACCCGCGCCTCGTGCCTTGAACACCCCCGATCCTCCAGATTTCGGCCCCCTTTGCCCTCCGCACCCCTCTAGTCGCCCATTTCTGGCATTCCTTCTCCTCCCCCACTCTCAGACACGCGGGCCACCAACCTGGAATCCCAGATCCCGCGTTGAGGGATCCCCCGCTCCCTGTCCTGGTGAGGGTGGCCTTTATATCCCCGTAAGTCAAGTCTGTACATTCAGGCGCATCCAGACAGCCCGAGACACTCCTTGTGCCTTTGGGCAAGTCAGTTTCTCTGGGCCTCAGTGTCCTGTCTGCAAAATGGGCATAACAGTACCTATCTCATAAGATCTAGTAAAAATTAACTGAGATAATGCAGGCAAAGGGTTTAGCACAGATTGTGTTAAATAAAACCTAGCTATTTTACTACCTTTGTATGTCCCGGAATGGCCTCTAACCCCTAGGCACTGTCTCACTTCATCGCTAAAGGCTCTGGAAATCAGTAACTCCTGTTTCAACAGCCACTCAACCCTCTGTCCCCAAATGGGTGCTTCCTGCCTGTTTGATAAGAGCCCATCTGCCTGCTACAGTAATAGCAGCAGTCCTAATCCAGCCAGGTTCCCTGGTGAGTCTTCATAGGGCTTTAATGAGCTTGTGCTTGGCTTTGAGAACATAAAACTCTAACGTGGCTGTCTAGAGAAATGCCACTTGGGCAGACAGCTTATGAGCCCTGTCATGGGTGGATTCATAGACCTGGAGCCTAGAACTCCTCTGGTGGCAGAATCTCCTGCCTTTACAATGAGACCCAAACAAGGAGAGTGACTTGCCCAAGGCCCATAGCAAACTGTCCTCTCCATCCCTGTCCACTCACCTCCTTTCACTACATCAACCCAGCTACCATCAGCCATGCACCTGTTACTCAGTCAGAGGATATTTCAAAGTCCTCCAAGTATGGGGAGTTGCCAGGTACACGTTATTAGTAAGGCCAATCTTTTAGTGCAGTGGTCGGCAAACTGCGGCTCACGAGCCACATGCGGCTCTTTGGCCCCTTGAGTGTGGCTCTTCCACAAAATACCGACTTCTGCGCATGGGCCATGAAGTTTCAATCGCACTGTACGTGCGCGCCCGCACGGGGTATTTTGGGGGAAGAGCCACACTCAAGGGGGCAAAGAGCCGCATGTGGCTCGCGAGCCGCAGTTTGCCGACCACTGTCCTAGACCATTGCTAGCAAGACACACACCCTACAGAAAATCTGTCAGAGCAAACTGTTAAAAAAGCAGCCTACTGTGGATGCTCTCCTTCACCCTCCCGTTCTTTCCTTTTTCCCTTCGATAGAGCGAAAAGCAATCACACACCTGAATGCTCTTCTTTTACTTGGTGCTACCACATTTTCAGTCATTTTTCTCCCCCAAACTGCAGGAGCTGGCTTTGTTTTTTCATCTGCCCTAAAAACTTACTACAGCTGTGAGTATGCAATTTTTTTATGGGGAGGACCGTAAAAATATGTTTTTACTGAATTCTGGGAGAGGAAGGGAGAGAGAGAGAGAGAGAGAGAAACATCAATGATGAGAATCATCGAACACTGCCTCCTGCACGCCCCCTCCTGGGGACCAAGCCCACAACCCGGGCTTTTGACTTCCTGCTTCATGGATCGATGCTCAACCACTGAACCACACCAGCCTGGCTATAACTCTTTTGTTTTAATCCTGAAAAACCACAGAGATTGAGTTTCCAACCCAATACTTCCAAGATGGAAGAAAAGTAAACTGGCCAAATGATGGTCTCAATAGACGCAGAAAAAGCATCTGACAAAAATCCAACACCTTTCGTGATAAAAAAAAAAAAATAATAATAATAAATTAGCAAACTTTTTTAAAAATATATTTTTATTGATTTCAGGGAGGAAGGGAGAGAGAGAGAGAGATCAAAAAATCAAGGATGAGAGAGAATCATTGATCAGCTGCCTCTTGCACGTCCCCTACTGGTGATTGAGCCTGCAACCCGGGCATTTGCCCTGACTGTGAAAATACTGATGGGTATTTGTCATTATGTATTTGTCCAAACCCATAGAGTATATAATACCAAAAATGAACCCTAATGTAAACTACAGACTTTGGGTGATAGTGATGTGTCAATATCAATGTAGGCTTATCAGTGGTAACAAATGTACCTCTCTGGTGGGGATGTTTATATGGGGAGGGCTGTGTACTTGTGGGGCCAGGAGATATGGGAAATTTCTGTACCTTCTTCTTAAGATTTCTGTGAACCTAAAACCGCTTTTTAAAATTGTCTTGCCCGTCTGGTGTGGCTCAGTGTTTGAGTGTTGACCTATGAACCAGGAGGTCGAGGTTGGATTCCCGGTCAGGACACATGCCCGGGTTGCAGGCTTGATCCCCAATAGGGGATGTGCAGGAGGCAGCTGATCAATGATTCTCTCTCTTCATTGGTGTTTCTATCTCTGTCCCTCCCCCTTCCTCTCTGAAATCAATAAAAATATATATTTTTTAAAACAAATATAAACAAAAATTTAAAAATTGTCTCTTTTTTTTAAAGAAAATAGTTCTGGAGATGAATGGTGTTGATAGTTGCACAACATTGTGAATGTACTTAATGCCAGTGAGATGTACACTTAAAAAAGGTTAAAATAGTAAATTTTACGTTATGTATGTTTTTACCACAAAACAATAAAATTAAGTTAAATTAAAAATGGGCAAAGGACTTGAATAGACATTTCTGCAAAGGAGATGTACCAATGGCCAACAAGCACATGAAAAAATGCTCAATATCGTTAGTCATCAGGGAAATGCAAATGAAACCCACAATGAGATACCGCCCATTGCCCCTGTAGCGGTCATAAAATGTTTTCAATGGAAATAAGTGTTGGGAAGGATGTGAAGAAATTGAAACCCTCATATGTTGCTGGTAGGAATATAAAATGGTGCAATTATGCCCTAGCTGGTTTAGCTCAGTGGATAAAGTGTGGACTAAGGACTGAAGGGTCCCAGGTTCAATTCTGGTCAAGGGCACATGCCTGGGTTGTGGGCTCAATCCCCAGTAGGAGGCGTGCAGGAGGCCGCCGATCAATGATTCTCTCTCATTGATGTTTCTATCTCTCCCTCTCCCTTTCTCTCTGAAATCAATAAAAATATATATATTTTTAAATAATAAAAATAAAATGGTGCAGTTACTCCTTCATCCGTAGGTATTCAAACAAAAATTAATACAGGAATATACACAGCAGCATTACTCACAATAGTCAAAAGGTGGGAAAAAAACAAATATCTATCAACTGATTAATGGATGAACAGAAGGTGGAATACCCATATGATGGAATATTATTTGGTCATAAGAGGAAGGAAGTCCTGATACATGTCACAATGTGGATAAAACTTGAAAACAATGTGCTAAGTGAAAGAAGCCAGTCACAAAAGGTCACATGTCATATGATTCCATCTACATGAAATTCTAAGAATAGGCAGCTCCTTAGAGACAGAAAGCTGATCAGTGGTCTCCAGGGGCTGGAAGGAGCAGGGAGTAGCTGCTAATGGCTATGGGGTTTCTTTCTGGGATGCTAAACTTGTTCTGGGAAGTTGACACAGTGGCATGTACTGTTGGTATGCACTATATTTGAAACGTACTAAATGCCACTGAATTGTAGAGTTTAAAATGTTAAACTGTATGTTATGTGAATGTTACCTCAATTTTAATAAAAGTAAACCAGGCATCTCATGTATGCCCTGTTTGGACACAGAAGGAGGGGGAGGGGGGGACACACAGTGTTACATGAACTCTGGCTGTTTTCTCTTCCCACTGAAGACTTCACAGCTGTGCTCGAACCCGCAAGGGCCCAGAACAAGATCTGGGAAGCAGACACACACGCCAATACCGTGGAACCACAGGGACTGGACAGAAAGGGATAGACTTCCTCTGGGTGAGAGTTCCTCATTCTACTTTAAAAATGACAGCCGCCTGAGGAGAAGGCAGGTTGCCTAAAAAAAAAGTACAGAATATGATACATTTTGTTTAAAAGAAAAATACACACACATACCTGGAAAGAAGTCTTCATACTTTTTCAAGGATACAGCACACTATAAAAAGTTGTCTCTGAGTGATAAAAATTAGGATTTTTTTTTCTCCTTTTGCTACTCTCCATTATCTAACATTTCAAGAATAAATACAAATTGCTTTAAAAAAAAAACCCTAATTTTCAAAAAAGGAATTCAGTTTCCAGAAATAGCCTCCACTGACTGGTCTGTGTTATTCATAATAATGAATTGTGGTAACTAATGTTTCCATAACACCTCTTCCATTTCCAAAACACATTTCCCACGCACATCACACAATTCATCCCGCAAAAGCAGACATTCTGACTGCCGAGTTATGCAGAAGGGGATACTGAGGCCAGGGGGAGGAGAGACTTGCCCAAGGTAGCACCCAGACCCGGTGCCTGATCCTGGCTCTCTGTCCTTGCTGGGACTGGGGCTCTGGACGCTCAGGGGCAGAGAGAGGCCTTGGTAGAATTGCCAGATATAGCAAATAAAAAACACAAGATGCCTGCCCGGCCAGCGTGGCTCAGTGGTTCAGTGTCGACCTGTGAACCAGGAAGTCACAGTTTGATTTCCACTCTGTATTTGCCCAGGTTTCGGCTCAATCCCCAGTGGGGGGCGTTGATGTGTCTATCTCTCTCTCCCTCTCCCTTCCTCTCTGAAATCAATAAAAATATATATGTTTTAATAACCACAAAAAAAACCCCACAAGATGCCCAGTTAAATTTGAATTTCAGATAAACAGCAAGTGATTGTTTAGTATAAGTATGTCCCAAATGTTGCAGACCTGTAATACATGCCCAGTCTTTCACAGGACATACTGAAACTAAAAACACACAAACAAAAAACCCACACCACTCACTGCCTAAGACTTCTATGTAACTGAGTATTCTCTATTCTGTCTGGCAATGTCAGCTGCCTGTCTGCTTCTGGCCAGGGCAGGAGTTCCAAGTCAGTCCCTGGTCTCTGTGGGCGACTGCACCTGCAGCCAGTGCCCAGGTGGAGGCCCAGATAAACTTCCTGGGGCCCATAATTACCTGGTCAGCTGCCCCCCCCCCCCGCCCCCGCCCCAGGTGTAGAGACTGTCTACGTACGCCTCTGTCTTCACCAGGCCCATTGAGTAGCAGGTGAGGCCTTTTCTGGCTGCCCAGAGGGAGGACCTGGTTACCTGCTTCGGGCACACCACAAACGACAGGGAAAATGTGACCTCAGGAGGAGAGAGGCTGACGCCCTTAATACCAACACCCAGATGCCATGCTGAGTGCCTGCCTCTGTTTCTACCTAACAAAACACGCAACAGCCACAGCAATCAGCACGGGACCCACATGAGCACCCACTGCAGACTGATGATGACGACAGTGACAACGAGGATAGTGGTGGGAAACACCGCTGGGCCCCCACTGGGTGCTTTTTCATTCATCATCTCATTTTTATTCTTCCCAAACCCCTCCTGTTTTACAGATTAGGAAACTGAGGCCCAGAAAGGATAAGGAACAAGCTCTGCATCACACAGCAAGCAGGTGACTGAAGGTGGAATTGAACTGGGACTGGCTGACTCCTGAGGCTACCACACAGCCTCTTCGTTTCCTCAGCTGATAGGTGCCTCGACTGTTCCTGGGGCTGGGACCAGGGTGATAAAGGGCAAGGTCCTGACTCCCCTGGAGTTTACTAGTATGTTCTGATTGGCAGCAGGAGAGATAAATAATAAATCAATATTAAGTGAGTGCCCTGTGACTTTGCCATCATCGCTGACTCCTCCTCGTAGCCTCCAGAGAACACGTTTTAGTGGCTTGGAAGAACTTCATTCTCTGAGATCCATTCTGTAGCCCTGGGCGGGGAGGAGAGATGGTGTGGGTAGAGCATGCATCCCAGAATCCTGTTCATTTTACTGTAAGTCCCATGGTGCACTAGGCACTGGCCTCCCAACAACTCTCTGAGGAAGTATTATATCTTCACTTTGCAGATGCAACAACTGAGGCCCAGAGAGGTTAAGCAAGTTGCCAAAGGTCACACAGCGAGTAATGGTAGCCACGGCATTTGAACCCAGGCTGCCTGGCTCTGTGTTTAGTCACCAGGTCATGGAGAGCTTCTTGGAGCTTAGAGCCTTCTAGATCACCCATATCCGTGTCTTTCAGGCAGTTGAACTCAGAGCCTTTCCCTTCGGTGCAGTCTCCGCGAGCCCCAACCCGCAAAACAGAAACAAGCAGTTCCGTGTGGGCTGAAACAAGACCCAGTCTGAAAGGAAGCAATCTGTCAACTTCCCAGCCCAACCAGGTCTCCAAGCAGATTCCTCCCCTCGTTCGGGGCACCCACAGAGGCCCTCTGTCCCTTGCACCATTGTCTCTCTAGGTGCCCGGGACACGGGTGCCAGCTTCCCACCCAGCTTTCAAAGGGACTTCCTCGTCTGGGGCTTTCTCCCAGGCACACCATCGCTGGACTGTTTCTGTGTTTCCTGGAGTTTGAACCTGAACACCAGTGTTTGTCCATCAGTCCTAGGTTGCCTAGCACTAGCTGCTGAACTTGGTTCAAGGTCGGTTTCTCTCCCAGCCAGCGGGAGAAGTACAGGCTGGGGGCTGTGCATGTCGGTCCGGGGAAGGCTGGAATTGCCCAACGTCCAGAGGGTCTGGCCAGGGCTTGGGGGTGGGGGATGGGCAGTCAGGCCCCTTCCGTTTGAGGAAATGGTCAGGGCAGTGGTGAGGCCTTCGAGTTTGGCATGGCGCCTAGACCACGTCACCTTCTTGGCTCCTTCCTGGTGGCAGGACCTCAGCCAACCTCTCTTGCCAGACTCCCCCGTTTTCTTAGCTACCCTGCCATCTCCAGTGTGGCCATGACAGTGAGATGAACTCCTGAAGGGAAGCCGCATGGCCCCAGGCCTGGCACATGGTAAGGCTTCAGTCATTCATAGCTATTATTATTGTTGTGTTGCTGTTGTTTTTAAGCTCCCCTTCCACCCAAAACAAAAATCCACAGGCCTATGGACGTGCCCCGTGTGTTTCTGGAACCTCAGTTTTGCTCTGCTAGCAGCAGCCACAGCTCCCTGATAAGAAAATGGTCTTACCCAAGCAAATGTACTCATGGCACAAACCCGGCACAACCTGAGCTCCTGACTCAGTTTCCTCACTGTCTAGAGAGGTGTCAGGACCCTCCCTAAGGCCTCCACAGCCCTATATGACCTAAGCCCCATTTATTCTCTGCCTCCATCTCCAAACACCCTTGGCCTTGCTCACCTGCCTCAGCTGTGCACACCTCCCTGCCGTCTCAGCACAGTCCTGCCTCAGGACCTTTGCACTGGCTGTCCCCCCGCAGTGGACCGCTGGCACCCCAGGTATCTACATTGCTCGCTCCCTTATTTAAGCCTTTGCTTAAATGTCACCTTCACAACCAGGCCCACATGGATCACCCTATCTGAAATCGCAGCCTCCTCCCCCAGCCTCCTGACACCTCCCCCACTCTTCTATACCACAGTCTAGTTAACAGCATTATGTTTGTTATTCCACGTCTGTCTCCCCAATTAGACTGTCAGCTCTGGGAGGACAGGGATCGTTGTGTGTTGCTGTCCATGTGCCCCACATGCCCAGCACAGGTCTGGCAAATGAATAAAGAGAAGGCAGTGTGGAGGGAAGGGAGAGAACCCTGACACCCTCCACACACTTCACTCCCCCTTTCTGCATCCTGCTCCCAGCACAGGTAGCCCTGAGGCCCCGCCCAACCCGGGAGCATCATCAGGAGGCCTTGTTATCCTGAGTTTCCACAAAGAAAGGTGAATTATGCTACTTCCCCTTCCACCTACCTACCTTTCTGAGATGCCAAATCCTATAACTTGTTTAACCCTGTGAGGCAGACACCCTTACCCATTGCCCTGCCCCCCTCAGACACACGTCTTTGGGGCCACTGGAATGAGACACTGAGAGGTAGAAGCAACACTTGGGAAACCTGCTGGGGAAGGGACCTCTAAGATCGTTTCTCCCTCCTTGGCTAGACAGAGTTAGGGTTAAATGCTCATTACTAGACCTCCCGCCTTCTGAACCACGAATATGCTCTTCCTAAAACCATAATTTAAGAAAAAGTAATTGTTTATTACATGCCAAATCATTTCCCCCTATGAGGTAGACACCACTCAATTCACCCTATGAGGTAGACACCACTAATCTCCCCATTTTACACGAGGAAACTGAGACACAGAGAAATTAAGTATCTTGCCCAAGATCACACAGCTAGTTAGTGCAAAGCCAGGATCAGAATCCAAACAGGCTCTTTCTAAAGTATATGTGCTTGCCCTAGCCAGTGTTGCTCAGTAGATAGAGCATCAGCCTGTGGACTGAAGGGTCCCGGGTTCGATTCCGGTCAAGGGCACGTGCCCGGATTGTGGGCTCGATCCCCAGAAGGAGGCGTGCAGGAGGCAGCCAATCAATGATTCTCTTTCATCATTGATGCTTCTATCTCTCTCTCCCTCTCCCTTCCTCTCTCTGAAATCAATACAAATTTTTTTTTAAAAGTCTGTGTGCTTACCCATCATTCTACCCTTTTTGCAAAAGAATTATAGTCCCTGTTTTATAAATGACGGAGAGACTGAGACCCAGGGTTTTGCCGCTGTGTCAGCAGCAGGATTTGAACCCAAGACAGGACTGCAACTAGAGGGCCCATTCTAATTCACTGCAGCTGCGGGCCCATTCCAGCTGTCTGCATGTGCACCTGAGCCCGCTCTTACCACCTGGAAACTTACTCACCTCACCAGAGAAAACAAAGGCCTGAGCCTAGGAACAGAAAAGCCAGCAGCGTGGACAAGCTTTGGAATCAGGGCTGAAGAGGGTCCCCTCCCCAGTGCCCTGGAGAGACAAAAGGGGAAGCCGAGGAGGAGAAAGGAGAAGTAAACAGGGGACCGACTCATTTCTAAAACGCACATAGGTATTTCCCAGCATCGTAAGCAGGTTGAGAAAGCAGATACGAAGTCTTGTGTAGTCATTGGATGCAGGGGGGCAAAGGGTCCTTCTACCCCCAGAAGCGCTCTTGATGAACCCCTCCCTGGGACCTTCCCAGGAGCAATCAAGACGTTTGAGAGGTGCTTGTGTCACTGCTCAGATGTCCTTGCGTCTGTGCGTGAATG